AGGAAGACAGCACGAAGCCGGACGAGATCTTCCTCGAACGTCCGACTAAAAATTATCACGTCATCGAGGTATATTAAGCAAGAGTCCCACTGGAGACCCAACAGCACTAGCTCCATCAGCCACTGGAACATGGCCGGAGCACAGTGGAGCCCCATCGGAAGCCTGTTAAAATGGAAGAGGCCTTGAGGCATACGGAAAGCAGTTTTTGCCTTCGAGGCTTCGTCGAGCGGTACTTGCCAAAACCCAGACAGGAGGTCCAAGGTTGAAAAATATTGTGTGCCCACCAAAGCATCTAGAGAATCGTCCATCCGCGGGAGGAGATAAGCGTCTGTCACGGATATCTTATTCAGCTTGCGAAAATCTACGCAAAAACGCAAGCTGCCATCCTGCTTTTTAACGAGCACGATAGGGGCTCCCCACGGGCTGGTGGACGGCGAGATGACATCCGCGGTGAGCATCTCATCGACCGCCAACCGCACGTGCTCCTTCTCTGCCGGGCTGAGGCGGTACGAGTTCTGCCGGATAAGCGTGGCCTCGCCCGTGTCAATGCGGTGGCTTAAGAGTGTGGTACGGCCGATGTCGGACTTCCCCGCGCTAAAAATGTCCGCAAATTCGCGAAAAAGTGCCTTCAGCTCGATTCGCTCGGGCTCGGACAATTCCGCCCCCCCCGACCACAGCGAATCAAGCCACCCCTCGTCCGGACGCGCCTGTGGTGGCATACGCGATCCACCCCCAACACTCCCGACAACACAGGTGGTGGGAAGCGCGGGGGACACATGTGCAAGTACGGTGCCCTCCTGGACGATCGACGCTTCTGACCCGGTGTTAAGGACCTGGATGAAGGGTTCCTGGGTGGTGGACACCAGGGTCAGGGCCGCAGCCAACGATGATCCCCAAGCGGCCCTGTTGAAGGGACTCAAGAGGATCCCCCCCTCAGTCACCGTGCGGTCAAGGGGTTTACGTCAGCGCAAGGGGATCAACATTTGTGCCCCGGGAGGAATTTGCACCGTTCTGGGTGCCAGCGCCTGCACGGTAGCGTCGGCGGCACACACCCGAGTGATGGAGGGCAAAAATGACAACTGGCAGCCCGACGGTAGTTCGATGCAGCCTTTGTCAATAAGAATTTTAACGGGCATTTTCGGCGACAACCCTCTGGACCAACTCCGATCACTGACCCGGTTGTATTGGCCAGCCACAATCAGAACCCCCCACCTCCGATGTCCGACGAAACCCCGAACCGGTGCGACGCAATGAGTGAGGTGCCGCGACTCGCCTGGGATGAAAGCAGCAACAAGGATGTCCGGGCGGCCGATGGCTGGGGTCCGCTGGGACGACATCGCGGCGCTCGGCACCCCAGGGAGACGTGGCCCGGCAGGCCGCAGTTATAGCAGACAATGGGCCCCCACTCCGGACGGGGTGACGCTCTCCCCCATTGCTGGAAGCCGTCCCTCCTCGCCGCACCGTCGTGTCTCCAGCCCCCGGCCGGAGCCGCGGCGCAGGCAAGACGAGGTCCCTCTTCCATCAGTGGGCCACTTTCCACGTGCGTGAGAGTAAGTGTGCTTGAACGCACTTGGCGGCGGTGAGGGATGGCTTGTATTACGACCTTCAACTCCCGCGCCAGCAGCAGCTTTGCCAGCACCATTGTGTCGAGCCCGTCCTGGTCCATCCTAGGAAAAGCTGCGCGAGCCAGCGCCAGCAGCACACTGCGGTACGCGAGGGGTGTTTCGGCCTCCCCCCTCCTCCACTCAGTGAACCGATGGCGTGTGCTGGAAGGGGGGCCGTAGATGGCCGACATTTGCCGGAGTGCCCGATGTAGCGTCACCCTCTCCGCCAGCGGGATGTTGACGAACGCCGCCAACGCATCGTCATCCAGGGCGGCGGGAAGCGCCCTTAGCACCTCTGACTCCAACCAGCCAGCTATCTCGCAATTGGAGACAAACCGGCGCTCAAAGGCCGGCCAGTCGCCCCCCCGCGGTCGAAAACTCCTTCAACGCGGGCAGGCGACGTTATAGAGACAAAGCGTGGTCGGATGCTCGCGGCGGGAACTCCGTTTTGGTGGAAACTCCCACCAGCGATGCCAACAGCCCGGTTCCCGCGGCCCCAGCTGCAACCGCCTCAGAATGGCAGGCGTTTTGGGCGGGAAGGGCTGCTCCCGGATGAAGGCGGGAAGCGGTGGGATTGGGCAAATTGTCGGCGGGAAAATGTAGATCGTCGGCGGGAGCGCATAGAGCTTGGGTGGGAAGCTGTAGATTTACATCGGGAAGCTGCAGATTTCCGGCGGGAAGCTGCAGATTTTCGGCAGGAAGGTTGAGATTTTCGGCGGGAAGCCCGCCGCCCCGCGGCTCCGTCGCTCTCCCCTCCGCTGTCGACTCCCCGAGGTGTATTTCCTGCAGGATTGATGCTGCAGCGTGCAGGAGCTCGGCGAGGCGAGAGTGAGACTCCCGGAGCGTCCTCCCTGATGGCGGCGATCCGCCGCGCGCCCGGCCAGCGTGTAGCTCCCCCGACAGTTCCTTAGCATCCTCCAGCAGCACAGCCGCCTCAGGAGCCGTCCCCTCCTCGTCCCCCTCGCCCGGGGAGATAGGACGTCCCCTACGCCTGGTTTCCATAGTCTGAGAATTACCTAAGAAGCTGTGTAGTAACAAAATTTGGCCACTCCCGACACCAGTTGTAGTGGGTATAAACACACTCTCAACCAGTCTTAGGAGGCAACACGTTTATTCAACATTATCTCACAAGGGCCATTTCAACCGGATAACTAGGGTGATAACACACCCGACCTAGCTAACCTAACACACGCTATCGCGCACTCAACTTACTCCCCCTGTGGGAGTCGGAGTCTCCATGTGGGGTCTTCTTCAGGCTCCAATGCTCCGTCTTCTCCGCAGCTCAAACTGCCCGATCCTCCCCTCGGGGACCAGCTTTTCCCTGCGGCAGGTACTGTCCGTCCCTCATCTTCACAGGGCGGTTTCCGTACGCACCCCGCCCTGCCAGGGCGGGTACTGTATGCACCCCACCCTGCCAGGGCGGGTACTGTACGAACCCCGCCCTGACAGTACATCGCGGGGTGTACCTTGGCCCGGTGAGTTCCACACCCGGCAGTACACGACTAGGTTGCTACACATTGACTAATACACACACATCGACTCTCACACACACACATCGACTCGCACACACACATGGACTTACACACACACAGCGACTTACACACACACATCGACTTACAAACACACAGCTACTCAAACACACGTGGACTTACACACACACATACATCGACTCACACACATCGATTTACACACGCACAATTATTTTTTTATTTTTACTTACACACAGACATCGACTCACAAATACACACATGGACTTACACAGACAAACACAGCAACTTACACACACATGAACTCAAACACACACATCGACCAACACACACACATCGACTGACACACACACATCGACTGACACGCACATATTGCTATGATTACAGCAGTACATACTGACTGTGGTGGTACCTGCTATCACTACAGTAGTACATGCTGATTCTATAGCAGTATATATCGACTCTATAGCACAAACTACTAACCTGACAGAGTGCCGTGGTGAGGCCTAGTCTCGTACAGAACCCCCGGCCTCGCCTAGATTGCCCAGCCAGCCGAGGTGGCACCTTGGCAGGCTGGGAGCTGGGCCGTACCCATCCCCCCACCATCCCCCCTATAATAGTAAGTGCACACATTGGGGTGGGGGGAGGAGAAGAGGACATGACACTTTCATGAATTTACCTCAGCGTTGTGGTTTTTTTTGCATTTTTAACGCGAATTAGAAATCCCCGCCCCTCCACCGATGATGCGTGTGCGTTGCTAGGGGCAACCCCCGGGCAGCTTTAGCGCTGTGTGAGTAAGTAATTAAATAATACTGAATAGCACTAAATTGTTAATGTAACTACTATTTTTAAACGTAAACCCCACGGTTTGTGAGCCAAATCCTTCACAAATGTGCATCCACAGACAGAGAGACGGACAGAGAGACGGACAGACAGCCAAAAAATGACGTTCATAGGTAAGATTACAGTTTGACATTTTTTCCCCCATTAAGGCCAGTGTCCTTGTGAATCTCGGCCTTCATTGTTTGCACACCGCTGCCAACGCAGCAGTATCACCAGATAGCTTGATAACTCTTTTTTCAAACATTGAATATAAAATGTTTTTTAACAATTCGCCTGTAAAAAATAAATTTACTGCATTGTATTGGTCAAAATGTGTCAAACAAAAGCGTGACGTCAACAAACAAATGTGTCAACCCCTTCGGCGACATGACGTCACAGCACGGTGTTCAAGACGCTCATCAATAGAATCAGAATCAATAACACTGTATAGCCTTTAACGGAAAACTATGCAAGAAGCGAAGTTTCAGGCAATGGCCCTTCTTCATAGCACAAAGAGAGAGATCATAAGAGTTGGAGACAGCACTTATTTCTACCCTAGCGCCTGATGTGAATTTAACTTTACACATTATATTGAAAGCTTGTTTTTTACATAAAGCTTTCGTGACTGTAGGAATTCATGTTCTTTGGGTCTTTCGGTAAAGTCCTTAGATTAATGACCCATGGGCTACACCCATTTCAAATCTTTAAAACAGCCTGCTTCAGTAGCTTTTCCCCCTCTTTTTTCACCTGATGACGATTGCTTGTGTTGCGATCGAAACATCGTGATACACTTTATTCTTTTTATTCACTTTATTTTGATTATTTTATTGTTCTATCTACGTGACTTTACCGAAATACCCAAAGAATGCTTGTTTTTGTTTTATTCGGTTATAAACAGTTACCCACATCTGTGAACAAAAAGATCTTCATAGCTCATCGGATTCCTCCAGCGTAAATACATTTTCCGATTCTGAGCTCTCCTGTCTACTCCTGACGTCACCGCACTCCATCCCCCCCCCCCCTTGCACGACGTCACGTCACACTTACAACCACGCGCGTGACCGCATGTCACCCACGCGACGTCACGTAACCAACGCGTCCGAGGCGGCTACATGACGTAATCTCGCGGGCCGGACGTCACTTTGCGATGGCGGCTGTGGCTCAGCTGAGCGGGCTGCTGCTGCGCGCTTCGTTCAGGTCGGTGGCGGCGAATGCGGCGATTTGGCGGCTGCGTGCCGAGGCGTTTCGGAAACGCTCGTTCAGAGTTGTAATTATTGCCGTCGTTTAGAGAGGGGAAATGTATAAACACGAAGTTATTTACACGCAGATCAAAGTTCGCAAAGGATTTGAGCCAAGTGGGTGAGCTGTAGCCGGGTCGCGTTACACCCAAAAACGCACTGTACGCGTGCACTCTACCGCGCTTAATCCACTGCTGGATGACTGAACGAAGTTCTAACCACACCGTACGGGTCGTGGTGGGGCTGTGGTTGTCTTCGCCATATTTCGCCACCCCGGTCAATATTGTTGAACTTCTTTCGCACCGTACGTAGCCCCAAACCGGTCAACTCATACGGTTTACCCCGTATTATTCTTGTGCAGGGAAATTGAGTTTTTAGGTTCAATACGGGCAACATAAATTAAGTGTCTATTAGTTTGTGTTTCTGCCTTGTGATGGGACTTTGTAGGATGAACGATGAGATTTATAAGGGGCACGGGGTGACCAATAAGGTCTGGATTAGGTCTGTAATAAGGTAGGGCACTGATAAGGGGTTGACAGGAATGGTGGCCAGCTGTGCTCATCGGAGGTGCGGGGGAAGGAGTTGTGGCTGCTCTGCCCTCCCACGTAGCCCGGCCTTAGCCTACAACAACCTGTTATTTGCATGGTGGTGGTGGTAGCCATTATAGATTGCAGCCGTAACTCTCTTAGCTGATTAACCGACACTTCATGGCGGTGACGTCATAACGCGCTTGTGCCAGGCTAGGTGCACCTGCGGTGGTGAAGGCGCCCGGCAGGAGGTTACGGGATAATCCCAGGTGCTGTGGGTTTCGCGCACCAGGGATGACTTGACAAGTGCATTGCCAGCGGTCAGCCGAACTCTGTAACATCACGGAATAGCCTTTGCCAGTTCCAAAATATGAGAGTAGGTTTTCCCCGTTTTTCTGGCAACAAAACAGGTGTTAAGATGTTAAAACACCAAACTGAAACCTTTTACTTGGAATCATGTCTATATTAACCACAATACTTGTGGTCAGAATGCATGCAAAAAACATACTCTGGTAGTATGATGCATTGTCTTTGAAACTGATTGGTCCACACCAGAGACAGCTTTCTTTTGAGCCTAGTCTCAAAACGGTGTTAGACCAGAAGACGCAAAAAGACAAAGACCCCCAGTGTAACCTTTAACAGACTGTTGGGGCAAGTGCTGTTGGCGAGTAGCACCTATGAATGCCGGCACGGCACACGAGGGGGTGGGTGGCCAGCACCACGCCCGGCCGCCTTTGTCTCCCCAGTGGCGATGTTTACACACTGCACCGGGAACTAATTTTAGGCTGAGTCGACCCTAAGGTAGGCCCAGGACCGGTTCACATAATCTTCACTGGTGTTGGCCGTGAGCGGAAATGAAATTCGGGTCGCCGGATTGTTTGCGCAGCACGCTAGCTGCGACACGTTACCTCTTTAACGACCACTAAACCACACAAAGCCCTTACCTTCATCATTATCGGCCATGATCTATCCACTGCTGGATGACGACTCCCCCCAAAATCGCTCAACCCATCTCACAGTCTCGCCACGCGACAGCCCATCTCGTCATCACGAGCCAATTTCATGGCTCCATCTCCCCGTAAGGTGGACGTCTGGTCATGGTGCATTTCCCCTCCTTTGGCTGCCGCTCCATTGTGAGGCTTGACCCTCCAACCGGTCTTCGTCTCTTCCAGCGACGTTTCCTGCCCAAGTGAACGTTTCTTCACAGTCTCAAGGGTTCCGCTGGCAAGGCCACCCCTCCAGATGAGCTTCGCAGCTCTGCTACATGGACACCCACAGCCCAAGGCCGCCGGCAGTGGGTCAGGAGAGATGAGGATGGGGAGGTGGAGGAGGCTGCATCAGTGGTCTCGACACACAGCCCTAACCCTCACATCCAACGCTCGAACCGCAAATACAAATGAAACATCACGGCGACACACTCCGCTGCTCCTGACACGGTTGTCTGGCTTGACCACCTGAATGTGAAGTTGCAGTTGTTGCTCCGCTTCTACATGCATCTACATGCGGCGCAACAAGGATGCTGCAGTGGTGAGATGTTATCTCCCTCTCCTGGTAGACAGGTGGTCATGGGTTCGATCCCAACCCTGATGCCTGTATATTTGGAGTTTGCACGTTCTCCCCGTGGTCACGTGGATTTTTGTCCAGGTCCTCCGGTTTTTCCCTCGCCATTTATAAACATGCGCTAGAGTATTTGGCTGCTATACATTTCCACGTGACAAGCCACTTCGTTGAGCTATCATTTGTGGCCAGGTCGCTTCTGAATAAGAGCTGTAAAGCTCAGTGGGCCTTCCCTGATAAAAAACATGAAAATAGTACATCAGCCATACGAAATAATAAGAGATCGCTAACATCTAAACCACACACGGTAGTCTAGAACCATCACAGGTCAACAAGTCGGTGGATGGGTCCTGGGGTTGAAACTGCTTTCCTGCAGGCGAGTGGACATTTGGCTGTGAAGGCCAAGAAATCCACACACCCGTTGACCTTCACCCAGCGTTACCACAACCTCAGCCAAAGTCACCACCGGAGAGAGAGAGAGAGGCGGGTGGGGGGTGGTGTAGTTGTTTGCAAGTTGGATGAGTGCACTGCACAGCCATGTATATATAATCTCACTTGGGCATTTTTCTTTTACACATTCCATCAGTTAAGCTTGCCACGTGGCCATCTTGGAGCCCATGATTTAAAGCGGCATTGGTTCAAACACGAGCAAACTCTGGACCGGATTCGACACTCGCTGTCTCGTCGGCGGGAGTCGGGTCTCACGAGAAGGCGTGACCTGGACGGGAGATTGAGTAGCAACTTTTTATGGAATCAGCGCCGCCACTTTTAAAGCTCTTGCCACAAATGAACCACAATACATTGCTGATCTTGTTAAGGAGCATATCAATCAACACACGAACTCCGGTTCATCCTCACAGCAGCTGATATTGGCTGGCCATCGAACAGAGACTATCGGCGCAACATTGTGCGCTTTCAGATACGCTTCTGTAGCCATTTGGAAACGATTTTCCTTCCGATATTAGGAAGCCACTGGAGCTATGTACTTTTATTATTTTGATTGCAAACTCATTGCTGGAGAACTTATTTTTGTATTTAGTTTGTTGCCCTTTCCCCCGCACCTCTGATTGGCACATTTGGCTCCATACGGTGCGAAAGAAGTTCAACATACAGACACACTGCTGCCACTCCAACCCAAAATAGGATTGGTGGCTGGCTACGGCCTGCCTGGTTACTCTCTCGAACCTATTTGGCGGACAGTGACAGCGTTACAATAGTTTTCAGACCCTCATCATCATCCCACTGCTGTCGACGTTGTCATGATCTTCATTGCGGTGCACATGTACAGACAGCCCCTTTTTTGTCAATAAACTACTGAATGAGGGCCTCCCAATGCCGTGCGGGTCATCAAGGTTATTTGGCCATACTTCACCGTACTGGTCAGTGCAGGTTGGTGAAGTCGGGAGCATAGACATTTGGGGCATAGTCCAGCACAGCACACCATCATAATTCTACTTTTTGATTGAAATTTCCAATCGCACTCGCCATAGTATTGATTTAGTAGAAGGTGTTTATCCGTCGTTTCGCTTTTAACTAAAGAGCCAAAATTGGCACGAGGATGAGCTTCCGGTTCGCATATCACGGTGTAAAGACGACGGCGCCAAAGTCTCCTCCAGAGTCGTTCTTGTTTAAGGGACGAGCTTGGTGATCCAGACTCGCGTTACTTTTAGAGTTCAGTTCAGCACCACGAGGAAAACAACAGCAGGTAAATCATTTACCCGCTGCACCGTTACCACTGATCAGTGATGATTGGCAAAGTGGTACAGAGTTCGCAGCATAATCGCCAACCATACCGCTCAACGGCGTCGGTGGCATTGTCCCTCCGGAGGATTCAACGTGTAGGTTTTTGCTGCCACTCATGATCCGAGTGTGGTATTTCTTGCTGAGCTTATCTTCTCTCGGGCTTCCGCCACGCACTACTGCGGCCGTCTTGAGAAGTTGTTCGGAGTTCGCACTCTGGAGCGCGGAGCGGTGCGACGTCGCGTCGTCTTGACCACGTGCTCGTCCTCCGCTTCGTCTTCGCCGCCGTGCAGGACAGTGCCGTGGAGAAACATTCCTCGCGCCGGCCTCCGCAGCTCCGCCGTGGCCATGCGTCCCGTAGCGAGTGAGGCCGAGTTTGAGGCGGCGAAGCAGCGGCTGGGACAGCTGACGTCGGACCCAGGAAATGAGGCAAAACTCCAGATCTATGCACTCTTCAAGCAGGTGGTACATGCACCCCCACCAACTACCACACCCCCTCCCATATCACTGCCACCACCACCACAACCCCAATCACTAACACTACTACAACCTTAATCACCACCATCACTACTACAACCTAAATCACCACCACCACAACCCAATCACCACTACCACCATAACCCCAATCACCACCACCACAACTCCAATCACCACCACCCCCCCACCATTACCTCCCCAACCCCAATCACCACCACCACTTCCACCAAAGACAAAGATCCTCCGTATAGCCTTAACATGCTGTCGGAGCAAGTGCTGTTAGCAAATAGCACCTATGAAGGCCGGCATGGCACACGAGGAGGTGAGTAACCAGCACCACGCCCGACCGCCTTTGGCTCCCCAGTGGCAATGTTTTTACACACCGCACCGGGTACTCATTTGAGGCCGAGTAGACCTAGGGAGTCCCAGGACCGGTCCGGGAAATCGTCACTGGTGTTAGCCGTGAGCGGGAATCGAAGTCGGGTCGCTGGGTTCGCAGCGCAGCGCGCTAACCGCTACACAACCACCACCACCCCAACCCCAATCACCACCACCACACACCGAGGTATACAGCGGCCGGCCAGAGGGGAAACACCCCTGTACGGAAAGTAAGAGGTGTACAGAGAAGATGGTTTCTAGAGACGTGGGGAGGAGGAGAGGTCGACTGTGACATGAGCAATATGGAAAGAGAGAGAGAGGGACATGAGTACATGTGCAGCAGTCCCGTGGGAGGAGGCTGGAGGGGGGGCAAAGCCCCCCCCCTACCGAAGGCTCAGCCCCACCCCCCTTTCATATTTTTTTAAAGCACCGTACTTACGTGCGCGTGTGTGTATCTTGCTGTACCTGGTGCGGTGTGTAAACGTCGCCACTGGGGAGATAAAGGCGGTTGGGCGAGGTGCTGGCCACCCATCTCCTCGTGTGCCGTGCCGGCCTTCATAGGTGCTCGCTAACAGCACTTGCCCCAACAGTCTGTTGAGGCTATACGGGTACTTTGTCTTTGTTTCCCTGCTGTAAGGCGGCGTTTTGACGGAAGCGGTCTGTCGTGTGTCCGCCGGCCTCCCCGTAAGCTGCTATCTGCAGCGCCGCTTGCTGACAGAAATCGTTATCAGGACGTTTTCCCCCTGCTGGGCCGGGATGGAATTTCCATGGCGTGGGAGGCAGCCTGAGCCAGCCGCCAAATGTTATTTTTGGGGGGGGGGGGGCGAGGTGTAGAAGCGGCGTCGGTGGCGATTTCTATTTTGAGCCGTCGGTTTGGCGCTGTGGTTGAGCATTGGCAGTGGGTCTTGATGTGCCCTGCTGTGTCCGTTCAGTCCACGCAGGGGTCTTGCAACACCCCCAAGCCCGGAATGCTGGACTTTGTCAACAAAATGAAGTGGGAGGCGTGGAAGAACCTGGGACCTCTGAGCAAGGTAACCGCCGCGTGTCAGTTCCGGGAGTCTACGGGCTGATGACGTGGCCCAGGAGGTTCGCCGGTTCAAATGCCAGCAGGCCACCCTGGTCATTACCGCTATTGTGTTAACCGTAAAGATACGCACTTGTCTGCTTCGAGGTGGACGTAAAAGATCACCTGGTGTCATTTGTTCAGTGGCCCATTGTGTGCTGGCATCACGGTCCAAATTTGCCAATTCGAAAAATACCCGAAAATTACTCAATTGCCCCCTACTTGCAGGCCAGGTGCCGCCCAGAGATAGCTTCCACTGAGGGTGCCCTATCAAAATCTTCGAGATGATGCAAGTTTTGAGGGCAGCTATTTCAAACATCAAATCATTATTATCCCAACATTTAGAGCGCATGTGCTCGTGTTATCTTTACATTCTAAGGCCATCTTCACCAGGTTGACCTTGTAATTGAGTTCTTATATGGTAAACAAACTCTCAGATTTTGACAGCTTTGTAGTGGACATGTTCGCGGCATGGCAATCAAATGGATATATTTTCGTGTTATTCTCAGAGCTGGATTGAGCCAATTTTAAGTGTAAATGGAATTTAACGCGACGTATTTTTTTTTGCGCGTGGATAATTCGTAAACGGGCTGAGACCATCGGCTCGCTACATTTGAGGAGACCCAGCTACGTCGAGGAGGGCTGAATCCTTCACTCTAACCCAAGATCTCAGCCGTTGCCCACTCACCATCTCTGACCTGGCCATTATGAGCCCCCTTAGCCCACCCGGACCACCTCTCACTTTAACTTTCTTAGTGGGGGGTACAGCGAGTCGCACATGGCAACCTCAATGCCAGGTCAAGGTCCAGAGATCATCACGGCCAGCGCTCCCGCATCTCTCCAGTTGTTGCAATACGGATTGAGGTGTCTCAACCCGATTTGGTCTCCAACGATTGACCCCATGAGCCACCCAACCACCTCTGTATGTATGTTGAGATCCTGGGTTAGACGGCGCCATGGTGGTGAGATGTTAACTACCTCGCCTGGTATACAGGAGGTCGTGGGTTTGATGCAGAACCCTGACGCCTGTATATTTGCAGTTTGCGTGGCTGCAATAAATTTCCACACGATAATCCACTTCGTTGAGTTATTATTCATGGCTAGGTCGCTTCTAAAAAAAGAAGCTAACAGCTCAGTGGGCCTTACCTGGTCATATAAAAAATAGTTTAGTTTACAGATTGAGGTCTCAACCCGGTTTGATCCCCAGCGACTGACCGCATGAGCCGTCTCTCTAATCACGATTGCTCGTGATGACACTTCCACCACCCCCCCGCCCCCACCGTTGAACCCCGGCAGGAGGAGGCTCGGCTGAAGTATGTGCAGCTCATCGACTCGCTGGTGGCGGCCGAGACTCCTGCTGCTCCGTCGACGGAGGCCGGCGCCACAGCTTACCAGACCCTGCAGCTGAAGCGTGAGAACAACATGACGGTGATCACGCTGAACCGGCCTGACAAGAAGAACGCCATCAACATCACGGTGACGCCCACAAACTCAGCCCTAAACTAAACAATGTTTCTATTTTACCAGATAAGGCCCACTGAGCTATATTCTCTTTTTCAGAAGCGACCTGACCACAAATTACAGCTTAAATTAGTGGCATATCGTGTGGAAATTTACAGCAGCCAAATACTATATACGCACGTTGATTCTAAATGTGGAGGGATACAACCGGAGAGCCAGGATTAAAATCCACGCCACCACGGGGAGAGAGAACACGCAAACTCCAAATATACAGCAAGCGTCAGGTTTGGGATCGAACCCATGACCTCCTGCATACTAGGCGAGGTAGTTAACATCGCAACCGCGGCGCTTTGCTGCCACTGCTATCTCCCGGCTGACTCGCCGTTAAAAGAATGGCCCTTGTAGCTCACTGGGAACTCCTGCCGCCATCTGACTTGAGACGTGCATACCATCGTCACGGAGGATGTGCGGTTTGCAAGTGCCGACGCGTGAGAGGTGCGATGTGTTGCGATGGTCGTTGAGTACCCGTGTCACCTCCCAGATGTACGAAGAGATCATGAAGGCGTTGGAGGAGGCTGGGAAAGACGAGTCCGCGTTTGCCGTTATCACAGGCGAGATTCCCCATACGCCATCGCATCTAAATATATATGCTTGTTCCAATGTTGTACATGATCATTAGTTTGCAGTCCTTTTGCCAATCCACTGCTGGATGAAAACCTCCACACAGCAATGAGGTCACGGGGTTTGTTTGACCGTACTTCACGCTGGTCAGTGTTGCTTCGTTAAGGATTGGGGAGGGGTTGGATAGCCGTGGCTGGGAGTTGCTCTCGGGTTACCAGACTCATAGCACCGTGAATGAAACACTGTAGCCGTGTGTGCACCTGCACCAGTGTGTATGTGTGAGCACCGGCGAGAGTGTGAGCGAGCACGCACGTTTGTGTGTTCACCGGCACACATGCACGTCTTGCCCCAGGCGCCGGCGATTACTTCTGCAGTGGCAACGACCTCAGCAACTTCACCAACATCCCGCCCAGCGGCATCAAGCAGATGGCACTCGACGCCGCCGACCTGCTGCGGTGAGCCGGTGGGAGTGGGTGAGGGGGTGGCAGTGGTGGTGTTGTTGGGTGCTGATGGTGATTGATAAATGCCAGTGGTGATGGGCAATGGTGGTCAGTAGTGGTGGTGGCGATGACTGGCGGTGATGGCCGATGAGTGGCGGTGGTCGTGATTGGTGGCGGGTGACGAGTAGTGATGATGATTAGAGGCCGACCAAAACTGAATTTCTGGTTTCAGTTTCGGCCGAAACCATAAATCAAAGCCGAAACCGAAAGTTTAAATTCACTTTCGGCCGAGACCGAAAGGTATATAACCGAAGTTACCGAACACAAGATTTATGAAATATGTCATGATGTAATGCTACTTTAATTAAAAAGAAATCTAGAACTAATCATTCAGAGCCTGCAATAAGAGTCGCTAAATATCAAATCTTTAAGTGTTACTTAGTAATTATATCCAAACAAACGAATGTTGTAGTTAAGAAACAACAGTTTTTCCGCATTCAGCCAGACAGGCTGCCGTCTCTTGACCGGTCGTATATACATTAGCAGATCATGGTTGCGGCTGTGACCTCGCTCCCAAGCTGCTGCTGCTGTTGCTGACGTGTGTGTGTGTATGTGTGTGTGTTTGTGTGTACGTGTGTGTGTATGTGTGTACGTGTGTGTGTACGTGTGTGAGTTTGCAGCCTATCGCATAGGATTGCCTAGCGCCGACTGACCGACCGATAGGCAGAGTGATAGATCTTCGGTTAACGAATGACGACCGAAAGTCAATATCAGTTTCGGCCGAAACTCAAACCAGACCGAAAGTAAAAAATTGACTTTCAGCCGAAACTGAAAGTATGCCAAAAGAGGCCATTTGCCAACTTTCAGCACCGAAACCGAATTTCGGTCGGCCTCTAATGATGATGGTCGGTGCTGTTGATGCACTGTAGTGGTGGCAGTTGGCGGTGGTAAAGGGCAGCAGTGAGGATAGACGCTGGTGAATGGCGATGATGATGGGTGATGGATGATGGTGACGGGGGGGGGGGGGTATGACGAGCGACGTACGACGGTGATGGGGCAGTTAATTGGCGTTGGTAACGATGGCTGTTCCCCTCTGCGCGAGCAGTAGGTTTGTGTCGTCCTTCATCGAATTCCCCAAGCCGCTGGTGGCGGTGGTGAACGGCCCGGCGGTCGGCGTGTCGGTGACGCTGCTCGGCCTCTACGACGCCGTCTACGCTACCAGCAGGGTCGGCCACCCACCCACATGCATGTCTACATCACAAGGGATCCCCCGGGGATAGCCCCCCTCTAACAGACTGTTGGGGCAAGCGCTGTTGTAGCAGGCATTATTGAAGGTCGGCTCGGCACACACACGTGTGCGTGAATGGCCAACGCCACGGCCGCCCTGGCCGCCTTTGTCTCCCCGTTGCTGATGTTTTTACACACAGCACCGGGTACTCGTTTAAGTCTATGGGTCGACCTAGCGGGTGGCCCAGGACCAGTTCAGATATTCGCCACTGATATTGCTCGTGAGCGGGAACTGAACTCGGGTCGCCAGGTTTGCAAGGCATTGCACTAACCGCTGCGCCACCGTTCTCCTGTACAAATACATGCAAAGACAAAGATCCCCCGTGTAGCCTTAACAGACTGTTGAGGCAGGTGCTGTTAGCGAGCACCTAAGAAGATTGGCACGGCTCACAAAGGGGGTGGGTGGCCAGCACCACGCCCGGCCGCCTGTCTCCCCAGTGGCGATGTTTACACACCGCACCAGTTACTCATTTGAGGTCGAGTCGACCTAGGGGAGGCCCAGAACCGATTCAGATAATCTTCACTAGTGTTGGCCGTGAGCAGGAATCAAACTTGGGTCGCTGGGTTCGTGGTGCAGTGCGCTAACCGCTACACTACCACTTTCCACAGAAAGACGTGCTCACACAGACACACGCACACATGCACCTTGTTTTTTTGTGTCAGTACTGTTTTGATCTGTAAGTTTTTTTTTTCTGTCTCGTCTGTATTTTCTGTATTATCTCGATTGTACTCTTGATTCTTTTGACCATTAGCCTCAAGGGAACGTTTGCGTACGATTTGCGCGTCCGATTTGCATGCACGATGAATGGAGGCGCCACTGGTGGTGAGATGTTATCTCCATTGCCTGGTATGCAGGAGGTCGTGGGTTCGATCCACACTATAAGCCACTACTTTGTTACGCTAATATTCGTGATACCCAGGTGGCTTCTGAAAAAATAGCTACATAGTTCAGTGGGCCTTACCTGGTAAAATAAAAAATTGTTTAATGGCTCTTTAGTATCTCGGTGCGTGCTCACGGTGTTCCCGCTGTCTCCCCTCAAGGCGACGTTCCACACCCCGTTCAGCCAGCTGGGTCAGAGCCCCGAAGGCTGCTCCTCCTACATCTTCCCCAAGCTCATGGGCGCCGCCAAGGTGAGCTCCGCCATGCCGTGCCCTGGCGTCCTGGCGCTCGCTGCCCGTACCGACGCCACTTGGCCCCCTGCCGCCAGAGGCTTGGCACACCACCAGCATCGCCAATATCACGCGAGCGCGCAAGCCGCCAGTCAGCTCCTCCTACCCACCAGCACCACCTGGACCACCCACATACATTCCTAGGGTATAGGTCAAATGGTAATTGCATGTGAGGTTATCAAGGAGAATAGAGAGCTCGGCATCAAATTGTGATTTGGACAAAAGGGGTAACCAAAGGATGCTTGAAGCGATGGGATTCCAAGTGTTTTTGGGCATTAGCAGAGAAACATGCCAAATGTGTCTCCACTGAGTCTGTGGGTCTCTGGGCGCGTTTACTGGTCTCTGTGTGAGTCTACTTGAGCCGACAGAATTCCAGGTGTTTCAGACATTCACAGAGTAACGACGCATATAAACAACACACACCCACACGTTAAATTTGCGTGCGACGTGCGCACATTCTCCTGCTCGTCCCCCTCTGTCCATCCGTCTCACGCGCACCCTGTCCTCACGATCTCCCAGGCCACCGAGATGCTTCTCTTCAACAAGAGGCTGACGTCCCAGCAGGCATGCGACCTGGGCCTTGTCACCGAAGTCTACCCTGACAACAGCTTCCAGCGGGAGGTGTGGGCTCGCTTGGAAACGTTGGCCAAGCTGCCCAAGAAGGTGCGTGGTTCCATCGTTGTTCCGTCGTTTCTATTGTTTTGTGCAAATTGCTCAGTTGGGCACGGCGGGGGGGGGGGGGGGGGCAGCGGTTAACGCTCATGCCTCGCAGCAAGAAGGACCTGGGTTCGACCCCCGACTCGGGGTGCCTTTTCTGTGTGTTCTGCATGGGTTTCCTCCGAGTTCTCAGATTTCCTTTAATGGCAAAAAAAACCACACGGTAAGGTGTACGATTGAACTGTTTTTTACTGTAATGGGAATTGGCCCAAAAGCATCCCAGTGCTGAACAAGAATGACCTGAGAATTGGCTCGCTTGAGATCGCACGTAGCAAACATTGCCGCCCACTGCTGCAAAAACTTGGCAGGACCCTCCTGAAAGAAAGTCTGGAGACTCGGCGAATCTTTCCTGGTGCTAGAATCAAAAGCAGCGACAGAAAATGTTGAAGGCTGGCAGTAAACACAGCAACATCTTTAATGGCACTGTTGCTTATTGATCTCCCCACAAAATATTCTGTCCATCTATTCGTCCTTCTGAGAACACTTAACTGTGTGGTGGTGGCTGTGCACTTCGTGGCTGCCAGTAACCCAGCACTGTGAAGGCAGCGAGGGCTAGTGGGTTGCCGAAGAGATGTTGTGAATCTCCCTTCCCCGTTGGTGTCGAGGTGGAGTCATACTTGGCTCGCCAGGAGATGACAGCACAGCAAATGTGCACGCCACCTGTTTCATCTGTACGGGATAGTGTTGCCCCCTTGCACGTGTGGGTATTTTCCTGGTGCTCTGATTTCTTCCCACGTGTGTAACCATCCGGTAGTGAGATGAACAAAGGGCTGCACCACGGTGGCGAGGTGTTAACTACCTCATCTGGTATACAGGAGGTTGTGGGTTCAATCCTGACCATAACGCCTGCTGTATATTTGGAGTTTGCATGTTCTCCCTGTGGTTGTGTAGATTTTCTCCGGGTCCTCCGGTTTTTCCCTCCACATTTCGAATCAACATGCATGAAAGTATTTGGCTGGTACAGTAAAAATAGTTACAAATTTTTGTCGTTTGGATTATTTTTTTAATTACTCCGCACGAGCGATGCTCCAACTGTGCGAAGCGCGACGGCGGCCATTTGCGCCGCTCCGCGTAACGAGGTCGCGTCGCAGGGCACGTGTGTGCGTTGATCTTCTTTCGCACCGTACGTAGCCAACCGTGCTATTCGGAGGTGCCGGGGGGGGAGTTAAGAACAGGCAAACTAACGATGTGTCGTCGTGTGTGCACGCGCAGTCCCTGGCGTACTCCAAGCAGCTGTCACGCGACGCGGAGCGGGAGGCTCTGCATGCGGCCAACTTGCGCGAGTGCCAGCGGCTCATCGAGCGCTGGCAGTCCGAAGACTGCATGGCCGCCATCGCAGGCTTCTTCCAGAGCAAGGCCAAGCTGTAGCCCGCTGCCAGGGGCGGGGGGTGGGGTGAGGCGGCCGCTGTGTGCGGTGCCGTGTGGCGCCACGTCTCACCGTCGCGCTAGTGGTGGTGGTGGTGGGTGTGCGGTTTAGTGGTTAGGCGTCATGGTCATTTCGTGTTGCAGCGCCGTGAGATTGCGTGTGAGCGTACCGCTTTGGAATGTGCTCGGAGTTTCATCCGTGAGCGACGAATTAGCGCCGAATAGGACTGATTGTAGTGGCGCGCGTTTACCAAGATTCCGTATCGTAAACGTCCAATCAGCAGCTGCTGCACAGTCAGGATTTGGTGAAAGAGCATTGGCCTGTGATGATGCACACTTACACGTGCGTACACAGACACGCGGACGCAGACACACCCAGGCACATGCACACGTGTACGCAGACACACAAGCACACACAGATATAGAGTACTCACCACACATGCACACACATCAAAAATGCCTCCAATATAGCCTAAACAGATTGTTGGGGAAAGTGTTGTTAGCAAAGCACCTGTGCAGACCAACCCAGCACACAAAGGGGTGGGTGGTGAGCAACACGCCCGGCCAGTCGGCCGGACGTTTTTGTCTACCCATTGGTGATGTTTACTCACCATACCAGGTACTCAATTTAAGGCCGAGTCGACCTCAGGGGATGCCCAGAACCAGGTTCAGATATTCATCACCGATGTTAGCTGTGAGCGAGAATCGTATTCGAGTCGCTAGTTTCATTGAACGGTGCGTGCTAACCACAACACCGCTGCCCACATACGCACGCAGCACATATACATATGCGCCTACACATACAAATCCACAAAATGCTGTTGGTGAGCAACGATTGCAATGCAATGTAATTTTTATTTATCTTACAAATGCAACTGCGTGTCTAGGCTCGACAGAACAGTGGGACATGGGCACGCTGTTAAGGCTGGAGCGCCGCAACGAGGGGGTGGGGTGGTCAGGACCATGCCCACACATAGGAGATACTCATGTTAGGCCGAGTCAAACTGGGGGAGGCCCAGAATCGGTTCAGGTATCATTTCCCACTGATGCTCGCCGGTGCCGGGAATCTATACTCGGGCGATTAGGTGATTTGTAGTGGCCTGCGCTAAACACTGCTGCGTGATGCAGTGCACTAGCAGCACGTGCTGTTCGGCCGAGAGGATCGTGTCAGTGGTGGCGGGACCTCTGCTTGTGTTATTGTAGACATTGAAAAGGACCACCTTTGCTCGCGCCAGTGTTGAGTGAGGGATTTCATCGGTGAGCGTGTAGGGGGAGAGAGAGAGAGCGCGAGCGAGTCGGTGAGTGAGTCTGCGAATGAGCAGGTGTGCGGATTGGGTGAGCGAGTCAGTGAGTGAGTTGTGATGCTGAGAGCGAGCAAGTGAGAGAGAGCTCACATCTATTGCACCGCTCTGTTCGGTGTGAGATCGAATTCGTCCTGGGTCCACTAATGGTGCATTCATTTCAGGGTCATGGCGTCCAAATCGCCGTGGGGGAAACGTCCAGAGTCCATTTACTCTACTTTCTGACGCCGCGTGAAATCGATTTGCGTAACTTATTTTAATTAATGTTTGCAAATAAATACAATTTCCTTGGTCCGTTGTGTCGCCGTGAGTGTCTTTGTAACGACGAGGGGCACCTATCCTGGCACAAGCACCGTTGGTGACATCACCGCCACTTTGGGTGGTGAACGGCAGTTGTGACCGCAAGAGTTGTTCAACGGGAGCACAGTGGCCTTATCGGAGGACAAATGACAAACTCGACACGGTCATTAACACTTCAGAAACCTAGAAGTGTATGGACTTGCCCTCACATTTTAAAAGAAGTTTCGTCTTTTTTTTAATATATCATTGAGCAGGAGATAAGTCCGTTCGCGTGTCTCGCAGAGAGAGAAACGGCCCTCAGAAGCGGATAGCACAGAGCTGCCTCTTGAGATGCCCTCTTTCAAGTGGCGCTCTGCCCCACGCACAGTAGAGAGCAACACACGTCCACTCCCACTGCATAGTTAATGCTCGTCTGCGTGACAGCCGACCTGATATATTTGTTTTAACTCTCGGAACTGAAATTTTGCCACAAATTGAGCGATTCACCGTTAGTCAAACGAGTCTGAATCATAGCAGTTTGGGGTTCATGTTTCCAGAATAATCTCGAATCAACATCACGCGTTTTTGGCTGCTATAAGTTTCCACACGATAAGCCACTTCGTTGAACTGTCATTTGTGGCCAGGTCGCTATGAAAAAGAGCTCCATAGCTTAGTGGGCCTTACCTGGTAACATTCAAAATATGATTGTCTTACATGTGTCTCCTCGTATGGATTGTATTTTGTATCCTGTCCATCTTTATAGTATGATTGTTTAACACGTAGGCTTTCGCGACCAATATCAATACACCGGTGTGCTGTACTAGTGACCATGTCACTAGTACGGCATGTTCTGTGTACGTGACAAGCCTTACTAATTGGTGGTGGCGGGTTTAACAACACATTTACGCGATCGAACCCAAAAAAAACCTGTATTAAGTATGATTGTTAGTTCCATTAGCCCGAGTATAAACTTTTCCGTAAATGATCAATCGCGCTTCGATGCATTCGATGCGTTGTAAGTGCGAAAGAATCAATTTTTGTTCATTATTAATGGTCACGTACCCAGCAAAAACATATAAAGCGGCCTAATGTTTCATTCAAGCAATGACACGTGTTCATAGTGCTGCGTCACGTGTCACACTGGTGCTGGTAAAGTACAAACTCGTGTACATCAGGATCATGAGCCAAGGTCTATCTACCATTGGATAAACATCCACTGCATCATATTGATGAGCCATGGTCTGTCCACTGTTGGATAGAGATATCAGCATGAGCCACGTTCTATCCACTGCAGAAATAAGACCGCCTCACATCATCACTCACGGTCCCGCGATACTCCAATCTATCTCCTGCACTGGTCTATCTCCTGCAATCTATCTCCTGCACACAAGTTGATCCATCTCACTCCATCTCCACCGTGGTCGGCCTTTACATAATTTACGCGATCTAACCCAAAAACACCTCTTATGGATGATATTGGTCGCGAAAGCCTACGTGCTCCCAGCACACACACACACACACTCCCATCATACACACACACTCCCAACACACACTACCAGCGTAAACACACTCCCAGCACCCACACACTCCCAGCACACACACACACTCCCAGCACACACACACACTCTCAGCACCCACACACACACTCCCAGCACGCACCCACACACTCCCAGCACACACACATTCCCAGCATACACACAGACCCAGCACTCACCCACACACTCCCAGTACACCGCACACTCCCAGCACCCACACACTCACAGCACACACACACTCCTAACACACACTCCCAGCACACACACACACTCCCAGCACACACACACACTCTCAGCACCCACACACACACTGCCAGCACGCACCCACACACTCCCAGCACACACACATTCCCAGCATACACACAGACCCAGCACTCACCCACACACTCCCAGTACACCGCACACTCCCAGCACCCACACACTCCCAGCACACACACACTCCTAACACACACACACTCCCAGCACACACACACGCACACACTCCCAGCACCCACACACTCCCAGCAAGTGCACACACTCCCAGCACACACCCACACACTCTCAGCACCCACACACTTCCAGCACACACACATTCCCTACATACACAGACCCAGCACGCACCCACACACTCCCAGCACGTACGCACTACCAGCGCAGACCCCGGTGCCATGGGTTGATTGAGATAAGTCGCAGATGCGCTCTACCTGTGCTCCCCCCCACTATGCCAATTAGTTGCGCTTTGTCCTCCCAGAACTCTGCTCGTTGTTGTGAGCGTCTCTTCTCCACCCTCCGCTGTTGCTGGAGCCTCCTCCTCCACAGAGGCCTATCTTGACACCTCTGGTACCAGTCGTCGGCAAGTCCGCTCAGCGCCGCATCCTCCAGTACCACATCAGCTCCATCTCTTCTCCAGCCCGTGCTGTGCCCGTTTAGCCCCCCTCGATCTGGCCAAAGAGAAGCTGCTTGGGCATGCGGTGGCTGGGCATGCTGTGGCTGGGCATGCGGTGGCTGGGCATGCGGCGGCTGGGCATGCGGCGGCTCACGCAGACAGACGTTGACACGATGAATCTGCGCGCATATGCCATGAAGAGCCAGATTGCATGGCGCATGTACATGCACACACAACCATTTTCAATCCACTGCTGGATGAAGGCCTCCTCTCCACGTGGTCTCGATCATGAAGATTATTTCACCATACTTCCTCACAATGCTGGCCAATGCGGGTTTTAGGTGGGGACAGGACCGGTTCAGATACGATGTCAGCCCTGGCTGGGAATCGAACTCGGATCGCCGGGATCACGGCGCGGTGCGCTAACCACTCGGCCGCCGCGACCACCTCCCAGTGCGGTCTACGATTGCGGTGCGAATGCCGCCTCATCGCCTTTTCGTTCCCGACGCATTCTGGGTGATGCGCATCCACGCGTCCTCAATCCACCATCTCCACCCTCCTCACCCCCTCCCTCCCTCTCTCCATGCCCGCATCTCGCCTCCCTCTCAGACGCATTGCGAGATAAAGGGAGGGTGCGCATGGGGAGGAGGAGAGGGTGAAGGAGAGGAGGGGGAGGAGGGGAGATGATGGGAGGGGGTAGGAGGGGAGGATAGAGGTGGGGGGGAAAGGAGGAGAGGGGGGAAGAGAGAATGGGATGGGATAAGAGAACAGGGGAGGGTAGAGGAGGGGGGGATGAGAGGAGGGGGGAAGAGAAGAGATGGTGAGGAGGAGGGGAGAGGAGGGGAGTCGTAAGGGATGGATAATCCCCTGACATTGGTTACAATGTTGGGCGCGTTCTACAGCGTGGCACTGGAAGGGAGGGAGGGAGGGCGGCTGGGGTGGGGAGGGGGGAGAGAGGGTGGGACGATGAGTGGGAGGACGCCTCCCTGGCCGCTATAAGAACCCGGCCTGGAGCGCTCCCCTCCCAAGAAACGCGCCCTGCATCGTCTCGCCCTGCACCACCACCGCGTCCTGCACCACCACCACCACCGCGTCCTCCACCAGTCCCCCAGCTGCCGCGTTCCCCGCCACAACCATGCGTGAGATCGTGCACATCCAGGCCGGGCAGTGTGGCAACCAGATCGGCGCCAAGGTGAGAGTGGCACCTCATTACCCCCACCACCACCACCACCATCATCATCGTCACGATCATAACGCTCTCATTCGTATTCATTCAGATCATCATCATCCACATCGTCACGATCATACACACTCTCGTCCCTATTCATTCAGATCATGATCCTCCACATCATCATGCACATATCACACATCACCATGCGCATCCTAAGAGACAGGATCCTCGTCACCACCTCTTCATTCTCCTCCGGCTGCGCATGTTTATTCCACCACCTCCACGGTTCTTCTGTTTCCTCCACCTCCTCGTGCACGGATTCCACCTCTTCCTACAACCGTCACCTTCTCCTCGTTCACCTGCTCCACCTCCCCTTAATTGCTCATTCTCCACCTCTTCCTAGCCTCCCCTCTTCCTCCTCCTCTTCGAGGGCGTGGTCCTGGTCCTTCCTCGTGCGCCTCCGAATTTCGCGACGTCAAAAAACTTCTGCTCTCTGATGCCGCCCACACTCGGGGGACCTTTCCCCCTTCCATCCTAATAGCATTGCTGCCCGTAGAGCCACCTTCTCTCTCCTGTCAATCCACTGCTGGATGAGGTGGGGGGGGTGCTCACCAAGCCTGTGTGCGGGCCGTGGGAGCGTCATTTGACCATGATTCAGCGCGCTGGTGAGTGCGGACCGATTTGAAGGCGAGAGGGGGAGCACATGCATCGAATCTTGAAACGGTATTACGAGATTGGACTAAAAATAAAACACCCAATTAAATCTTCGAAATCGGACACGCGGGAGGGGTGTGTCCTCACGATGCCATCGAAGGAGTTATCGTCGACGATGCTATTCGACGAGATCCGTCCGATCATTCGCTGATTCATCACCACTGCGATAGAAGCACTAATCAATGATAGAGACATCATCAACGTCGCAATTATCGCTGTTACTCCAAAATATCGCATTGTTAAACAACAACAACACGACGTTGCCGCTGATGCTGCTTCTGAAGAAGGGTCATGGTTCGAACCGTCGCAAATGTAAGGCGTTACCCTCTGCAGGGGCAGAGTTGGTGAGGGACGAAAGTGGGGGGAGGGGGGTTGTTGTGCGCACCGCCGCCTGCCCAATGCAGCATCACCCAAAAAAAAAGAATAATGAAGGCGAAATATATTGTGATTACTAAATAACATTGGCATTATTACGCAACGTTGGTGATAGCTGGAATTTTATGGGGGTTGTTGCATTCCTTGCAGGGAAATCGATATATTCGGTGATTCAAAGATATGTTTTATATACTTAATACATTTTTTGTGACGTCGATCTGTACAGATCCGCGTTTGATTTGAAACAAAGACCTCATCAGCCTCCCCCCCACCCCCGTTCTCCGCGCCCCAGGAGTGGGAGGTGCCCCTCCCCTCATCCCGGCCTCCTATTTCCCCAGATATCGATTTTATGAGAGGTTAATTTTATTGTGTTTTTTTTCTCTCCATGCCTTGCTTCCCGCATCATCTCCCCCAGGTGATAAAACAAATTATCCCATCTGTGCGGAATTTCAGGCGACAGTTTCTGCTATAAAAATCGCGTCTCGTGTTGCTTTTATATAATTCTGGGAGGGGGCGGGGAGGGGTTTAAATCTATTCATCGTTGTCTTAATAAAGACTCCGATTCTGTTTAATCGGAGCGGCTAAATAATCCTCACGCTCGCTCTCCCCTTCCCGTCGGAGCCTTGCACTGCATACTAATAACGTGCAACCAACCCCCTGACACCCGTGGCAGACGCGAGCGAATAAGAGATGAATAAATAATAAGCACCCACATTATTTAATAAATGAACACATGCAGGCATTCTTGCAACGGTTCTTTCCGTAGATATATCAGCAGACTGAGTACATCGATAAAACGGCATGAAAATGGACATGACGAAGACGACGATGCTGTTAATGTTGGTGATGCTGATGATGTTAGTGATGCTAATGATGATGTTGATGTTATTGGTGATGCTGATGATTTTGTTGGTGATGCTGACTGTGTATGTTGATGATGAATGCGAAATGAACGAGCAGATCGTAGCTGTCTGGCTGGAGTAACGTCACCGCTGAGGAGTGAGTAGCATTGATTCATGGGAGGGGTGTGGGGAGTGCGAAGGGATGGGTTCAATAGCGACCCAGGGTCGTGACTGATGACAGGGGGAGACATTTCAGGGGCGGTGGGCTGAGATTGGAGGGTGGGAGGGAGAAGGGGGGGGGCGCCTGGGTTGGGGTTAGAGAACTGGGGTGAGAGGGAGGGGGGAGGCCCCGCCTCCCACTCCCCCCCCCCCCAAGATATCTGGCGTTGCTTCGCCAGCTGCTGTCGAGGCATTGGGAGCGGGCGGGCTCGGGGTGCAGGGGAGGGGCGCGGGTGTGTGAGCTGTGCGTATGCGACACTGGTCACACCGTTGTTGGATCTCTGTATCGAGTGCGCAGGCGGTGCAACTGCACCGGGGCCCAATGGGTGCCCAGGCCACGGGATACGTGCAGCGGTGGAGGAATTGGGGAGGGGAATGTGAGGGGGGGGGGGGGGCAATTCTTTGCTTACGCCAGGGCCCACGCCAACCGCGCTATCTGTGCCCCCCAGTAGGGGTGCCGCTGTGCAGGAGGCGACGGGGGCATCCCCCCCAAACCGTGAGGGGCTCTGGCGGGTATTTGACCATACTTCACCAGACTATCACGTAGCCTTGCAACCAGCCTCCAGCATCCGTTTATTGCGGGGTGGTCGCCCATTGAAGCCGCAGCAGTCGCGACGATTTGGCCATAGGCACCGTTACGCCGAAGCGAAATGAGGGCATCATTCGCACGTTATTTGCGTAAATGGCTTTTAAAACGATTATTTCAAGCGCGATACGATGCATTTATCGCGGATTTTGAGACTCGATACGAATCGATATACATTCGATGCATCGCCGCAACAGCAACCGCGCCGAACCAGCGTCTCAGATGTGTCATCAGAGTTAGACTGTGGGTCGGGCTGGAGGCGGCGGCTGGGTAGAGTGCCCAGCGGTGGGGGCTAGCCGGGGAGGGGAGGATGGAGGGGGCGGTGAAAATGGGGGGGGAGGGGGGGGTGGTTCCGGACCCCTCCCACGTATCCGCAATGCGGACTCCACACTCCCTCCTCCCTCACTCCCCACCGCCCCGCCACCGCCACCACTCTCATCCTCACCTCCTTAAACCGCGCCCCTCTGCAGCGCTACGTGGGGGCGGGGGGGGGCCTCGTTTAAACGCTCAACATTCGCCGCTGCGATTCCACTGCCTTGATGCGGGGGATTGCTTCAGCCGGGCCTCGCCTCCCAACGTCTGCCAGCGCCACGCAACAGACGCCCACGGGCACTGCGCTCGCTCTGCCTTTGTCCGCCGGCAAAATCCGCGACCCTGAATCTCAGAATCCGCGGGGTGTGGCGGTCGCGCAGACGCAGCGAGGTCTCTCGGACCTGAGCGGACAAATCGATCGTTCGCCCATCGGTCGAATGAATGGGGCGAATAATTGCCGAGCGAGAGATCGAGCGGGTGAATGAACGAATATTCGGACGAATGAATGATGAATGAGATCATAATTGTACGGACGATTCAAATAATGGGACCGTGTGACCGATTGCATCAATGATGAATGACTCGATGAAAATACCGACGAGTTTGTATTTGAACGCATTTTTGAATCGTTGAATGAATGAATTGATGGGTAAACGAATGAGACTGGGCGGGCATTTGCTCGTGTCGCACAAAGGCTGTGCTCGGGCCGCGCACGGACACAGGCGACTGGAGGGTGACGGAAACTGCGGTTTAGAGACGCAGCACAGCCAGGGACGCGGCTGGCGTGGTTATCGGTGGACATGAATCTGAACCGCCGGTGTGGTGGGGATCACGTGGGCACGCGGACCCGCACATCATCACCATGATAAATACGTTCGATTAATCATTTAAAAAAAAAGCCAATGATAATGAAACATGATCTTGATTTGAAGCTTTCGTGACTGCAGGAATCCATACTCTTTGGTTCTTTCGGTAAAGTCACGTAGGTCCTAAAATAAGTCACGACGTTTCGGGCGCAACACAAGTGTCCGTCATCAGGTGGGAAAGCCGTGGTCTGCTGCTGTTTTAAAACAGTCTGCCTCAGCAGCAGACCACGGCTTTCCCATCTGATGACGGACGCTTGTGTTGCGCCCGAAACGTCGTGATTTATTTTATACCGACGTGACTTTACCGAAAGAACCAAAGAGTATAATGAAACATGATTACAGATGATGATGATCATCATACCGAAACCGATTAAGTAATGATGAGCGTGACGATGATTGCTTGGTCTGGCGAAAATGACGAGGAGTTGATGATGCGGCGTCAACTGAGTCGTCTGCCCCCTGTCTCCTCCCCCTCCCCACCGTGCCCCCCCCCCCACCGTGCCCCTCCCCCCCCACCGTGCCCCTCCGCCATGCCCCCCCCACCGTGCCCCCACTCCCCCACCGTGTCTTCCCCCACCGTGCCCCCCCCCACCGTGCCCCCCCACCGTGCCCCTCCCCCCCCCACCGTGCCCCCCAACCGTGTCCATCCCCCCCCCACCGTGCCCCTCCGCCATGCCCCCCCCCACCGTGCCCCCACTCCCCCACCGTGTCCTCCCCCACCGTGCCCCCCCCACCGTGTCCCTCCCCCCCCCCCCACCGTGCCACTCCCCCCCCCCGCCATGCCCCCCCCCACCGTGCTCCGCCCCCCCTCACCGTGTCCTCACCCCCACCGTGCCCCCCCCACGTGCCCCCCCCACCATGCCCCCCCTACCGTGTCCCTTCCCCCCCACATGCCCCTCCCTCCCCCAACATGTCCCCCCCCCCCCATGGTTCCACACCCCCTCCATGTCCTCCCCCCCACCCCACCGTGCAGTTCTGGGAAGTGATCAGCGATGAGCACGGAATCGACCCCACGGGCTCGTACCATGGAGACAGCGACCTGCAGCTCGAGAGGATCAACGTCTACTACAACGAGGCGTCGGGTACGGCACGGGGAGCCTTCACGGTCCACTCGGCCTCACTCCCCACTGCGGCTGGGCAGCGTCGGAGCCTCGCGGGGCCACCAGGCGGGGGGTGCCTTGGCCCCCCCCCCACCCCCTCTGGTGGCCAAAGCTACGAGTTGACAAGCACCATGAGATTTGTTTTCAACAAGAGTGGAAAAAGAACAACAAGTTATTTAGCGCGCCGTTTATGTTTGTGAAAACGCTTTCATCCTCCTTCCGCATTTTAATTTCATTCACGCTCGGCAAATTGCGCACCGCGTGTGTGTTTCTATGTTGTCATCACCACCACCACCAGGGTGTAACCAGGTAGACACGCAGAGCTGTCGTGGCTGCATTGTGCCACGACGGAGCGCCCTCACGCCATTAAATGTTCGAGACCGTGAACGTAACGAGAATGTGATGAGGCAAGGGAAGCCGCGCGATCTATAATTGCCTCTACAGTGAGGGAAAAAAGTATTTGATCCCCTGCTGATTTTGTACGTTTGCCCACTGACAAAGAAATTATCAGTCTATAATTTTAATGGTAGGTTTATTTGAACAGTGAGAGACAGAATAACAACAACAAAATCCAGAAAAACGCATGTCAAAAAATGTTATAAATTGATTTGCATTTTAATGAGGGAAATAATTATTTGACCCCTCTGCAAAACATGACTTAGTACTTGGTGGCAAAACCTTTGTTGGCAATCACAGAGGTCAGACGTTTCTTGTAGTTGGCCACCAGGTTTGCACACATCTCAGGAGGGATTTTGTCCCACTCCTCTTTGCAGATCTTCTCCAAGTCATTGAGGTTTCGAGGCTGACGTTTGGCAACTCGAACCTTCAGCTCCCTCCACAGATTTTCTATGGGATTAGGGTCTGGAGACTAGCTAGGCCACTCCAGGACCTTAATGTGCTTCTTCTTGAGCCACTCCTTTGTTGCCTTGGCCGTGTGTTTTGGGTCATTGTCATGCTTGAATACCCTTCCGCGACTCATTTTCAATGCCCTGGCTGAGGGACGAAGGTTCTCACCCAAGATTTGACGGTTCATGGCCCCGTCCATCGTACTTTTGATGCGGTGAAGTTGTCCTGCCCCCTTAGCAGAAAAACACCCCCAAAGCATAATGTTTCCCCCTCCATGTTTGACGGTGGGGATGGTGTTCTTGGGGTCATAGGCAGCATTCCTCCTCCTCCAAACACGGTGAGTTGAGTTGATGCCAAACAGCTCCATTTTGGTCTCATCTGACCACAACACTTTCACCCAGTTGTCCTCTGAATCATTCAGATGTTCATTGGCAAACTTCAGACGGGCATGTATGTGCTTTCTTGAGCAGGGGGACCTTGCGGGCACTGCAGGATTTCAGTCCTTCACGGCGTAGTGTGTTACCAATTGTTTTCTTGGTGAGTATGGTCCCAGCTGCCTTGAGATCATTGACAAGATCCTCCCGTGTAGTTATGGGCTGATTCCTCACCGTTCTCATGATCATTGTAACTCCACGAGGTGAGATCTTGCATGGAGCCCCAGGCCGAGGGAAATTGACAGTTTTTTGTGTTTCTTCCATTTGCGAATAATCGCACCAACTGTTGTCACCTTCTCACCAAGCTGCTTGGCAATGGTCTTGTAGCCCATTCCAGCCTTGTGTAGGTCTACAATCTTGTCCCTGACATCCTTGGAGAGCTCTTTGGTCTTGGCCATGGTGGAGAGTTTGGAATCTGATTGATTGATTGCTTCTGTGGACAGGTGTCTTTTATGCAGGTAACAAGCTGAGATTAGGAGCACTCACTTTAAGAGTGTGCTCCTAATCTCAGCTCGTTACCTGTATAAAAAACACCTGGGAGCCAGAAATCTTTCTGATTGAGAGGGCGTCAAATACTTATTTCCCTCATTAAAATGCAAATCAAATTATAACATTTTTGACATGCGTTTTTCTGGATTTTTTGTTGTTATTCTGTCTCTCACTGTTCAAATAAACCTACCATTAAAATTATAGACTGATCATTTTTTTGTCAGTGGGCAAACGTACAAAATCAGCAGGGGATCAAATACTTGTTTCCCTCACTGTAGGTGCGACCGTGCAGGACAAATCAATTATTGGGGCGCCACCTGATCCGATTGCCGTACCCCCTCAGCTGATAATGTTGTTCCTACACCACTGGCCCGAGTTTAATAGGCACTCGCAAACAGAGTTTGCATCTGTGGGGTAAACTATAGAGAAGGTGATTGACTTTGTATAGCCATCACCGTCATCATCACCGATCACGTTTTAAAGTAACCACGTTTTATCATCATCATCATCACCATCATAATAAACAACGTGTCATCATCACATCCTTTATAAGCATCATCAGTAAGATAGTCAGCTTTCTTATCCCTTGTAATTGCAACGAGGCTTTGTGATGATGATGGTCAGAGCGAAATCATCATCAGTAAGTGTGTGTCTCTGTGTGTGTCCCGTGCGTGTGTGCAGGGGGTAAGTTCGTCCCAAGAGCCATCCTAGTCGACCTGGAACCCGGCACCATGGACTCCGTCCGATCTGGACCTTTCGGACAAATCTTCCGGCCCGACAACTTCGTCTTCGGTAGGCAACCAAGGCTGCTGCTCGTTTTCTTGATTTTGTTCAACCCGATGTGAACTCAGGAGACCAGGACAGGAGTCTCATTGCAAGAGTGACCTGGGGCATGAGTCTGTGATAAAACCACTTTATCGAGAAATCATTTGTGATCGCCAGGTCGATCTGAAAAATAGCTATGTAGCTCAGTGGGCCTTGCCTGGTAAAATAAAAATAATTTAGTTTAGTGTGATCCCAATTGCGTAATTTTGCAATGTAATTTTTTTTTATTTGGACCGTGACATCGGCACACCATGGCCTCCTTCCTCGTTCCGAATGATGCCACGTGATCCTTAACGTCCACCGCGATGCAGATGGCGTGGAGTTATTAATCAGTGCGACCTGCCATAACCGAACCACGAACCTACAAAACCGTTAGCTTCGTCGGAGGGTTCAGATAATTGTCACTGGTGTTGGCCGTGAGTGGGAATCGAACTCGGCTCGCTGGGTTCGTAGCGCATCGCGCTAACTGTTACACTACCACTCCCCCCTGGGGGGGGGGCTGGGGGGGAAGCAAGATGCGCCAGGCCGCATAGTGACCCCCCCCCCCCCCACGTTCCACCGCAGGCCAGAGCGGCGCGGGTAACAACTGGGCCAAGGGCCACTACACGGAGGGTGCGGAGCTGGTGGACTCGGTGCTGGACGTGGTGCGCAAGGAGGCGGAGAGCTGCGACTGCCTGCAGGGCTTCCAGCTGACTCACTCGCTGGGCGGCGGCACCGGCTCGGGCATGGGCACCCTGCTCATCAGCAAGATCCGCGAGGAGTACCCCGACCGCATCATGAACACCTTCAGTGTGGTGCCCTCCCCCAAGGTGAGACCGAGTGCTTTAGTTACTGGTACTATAACCCCGACCGCATCATGAACACCTTCAGTGTGGTGCCCTCCCCCAAGGTGAGAAGACGCGAGAACTACTAGGTGGATGACTGTAGTACAGGAGGACTATAGTACTGGATGACTATAGTACAGGAGGACTATAGTACTGGATGACTATAGTACAGGAGGACTATAGTACTGGATGACTATAGTACAGGAGGACTATAGTACTGGATGACTATAGTACAGGAGGACTATAGTACTGGATGACTATATTACAGGAGGACTATAGTACTGGATGACTATAATACTGGAGGACTATAGTTCTGGATGACTATAGTACAGGAGGACTATAGTACTGGATGACTATAGTACAGGAGGACTATAGTACTGGATGACTATAGTACTGGATAACTATAGTACAGTACGACTATAGTACTGGATGACTATAGTACAGGAGGACTATGGTACTGGATGACTATATTACAGGAGGAATATAGTACAGGAGGACTATAGTACTGGATGACTATAGTACAGGATGACTATAGTACTGGATGACTATAGTACAGGAGGACTATAGTACTGGATGACTATAGTACTGGATAACTATAGTACAGTACGACTATAGTACTGGATGACAATAGTACAGGAGGACTATGGTACTGGATGACTATATTACAGGAGGAATATAGTACAGGAGGACTATAGTACTGGATGACTATAGTACTGGATGACTATAGTACTGGATGACTATAGTACTGGATGACTATAGTACTGGATGACTATAGTACAGGAGGACTATAGTACTGGATGACTATAGTACTGGATGATTATAGTACATGAGGACTATAGTACTGGATGACTATAGTACTGGATGACTATAGTACTGGATGACTATAGTACAGGAGGACTATAGTACTGGGTGACTATAGTACAGGAGGACTATAGTACTGGATGACTATAGTACTGGATGACTATAGTACTGGATGACTATAGTACAGGAGGGGCATAGCTGTGGAGGCCAAACCCCGACCGCATCATGAACACTTTTCAGCGTGGTGCCTTCACTCAAGGTGATACCAGCCCTGCCACCCTGACACTGAGGAACTGGAACTTCACCTGACACGAGGTCATACACCAGTAGTTGCCCCAATGCTTGCCCTGACACGAGTTCTGAACCTAAACCTGACACTGACATTTATCCAGAATGACAATCGGTATTTATCCTGGAGAAATCCGATGAGCTATAAAGCTCTTTTTTTTGCAGATGTCCAGTAGGGGCACGGGGTCATCATAACGTTACAAAGAATAGATAAAGTATATAAGTTCAGATTGCATAAGTACACCAATTCATCAAACTTTAGCAAGGCAGCAAAAACAGTCCCAGGCACACCAAGACAACACACAGTCCCCCTCAATAGAATTGCACATTAACAGTTAACTATCGATACACGGTTAAGGATCAAATTTATAAATCACAACGGCAAATCTGGCTATATCCACCACTGATCTTCTACTTCGGGATATTTTTTTAAGGAAGATTGACGATATGATGGGAGGGAAGCAGGTTGTTCCAAAACCTTGGTGCTGCAACAGCAAAGGCTTTGTCACCAGTTTCAGTTCTTGTTCTTGGGATAGTTAGAAGATGGACGCCTTGGGTTTCTTGGGTTTGACAGTGGGTTAATGATTTAGCTCAGTATAGCGCTGCCAATAAGGATTTTACGAACGAACAGGGCCCAATGCAGATTTCTTCTTGCATCAAGTGATGTGAGATTGTATTTTTAAGTCGAGGTCACAATGGTGGGTCCTGTCTGGTACATTCACTGATAAAGTGGGTTTAGTCTGTTAAGAGATGCATTCGTAGCTGATCTGTAAGCAGTGTCCCAGTAGTCAAAAATTGTTAGATTATAGGTTCAACAATTTGCAAAAATTTGCTGGAGCAATCGAATGGGAAAACATTGTTTCCTTCTTTATTATTTTTATTTCTATCCACGTGACTTTACCGAAAGAACCAAGAATATTGTTTCTTTATGTATAAAACCCCTATCCACACACACCCTCCACCCAGAAGCAACCCCTGAACACTATCCCTGACTGATCCTAAACCATGACCTCTGTATGTGTAACGTCTACCTCTGCCATTACCCTACTTTAACTCTACCCCTATGAGTACCCCTAACTATGATCCACTCACGACTGCCCCCACGCCACCCTAAGTGTCGGACACAGTGGTGGAGCCGATCAACACCACTTACCCACCTGCCCACTAACCAACTCGCACAACCACCCATCAACCCACTTGCCCACCCACTCAACCACCTACCCAATCACCCACCCACCTACCCACTCGTCCATTCATCCACCCACCTACCCACTCGCCCACCCACCTACCCACCCACCTATCCACTCGCCCACCCACTTACCCACCCACCTACCCACTCGCCCACCCACCCACTCACCCATCCACCTACTCACCTATCCACCCACCAAACCACTCGCCCACCCACCTATAAACCCACTTGCCCACCCACCAACCCACTCGCCCAACCACCCACCTACCCACTCACCCATCCACCCACCTACCCACTCGCCCACCCACCCACCCACCTACCCACTCGCCCACCCACCCACCCACCTACCCACTTGCCCACCTACCCACCTACCCAATCACTCACCCACCTACCCACTCGCCCACCCACCCACCTACCCACTCGCCCACCCACCTACCCACCTACCTATCCACTCACCCACCCACCTACGCACCCACCTACCCACTCGCCCACCCACCCATCTACCCACTCGCCTATCCAACCACCAACCCACTCGCCCACCCACCCACCTACCCACTCGCCCACCCACCCATCTATCCACTCGCCCACCCACAAACCCATTTGCCCACCCCAACCAGCTACCCACTCTCCCACCCACCCACTCTCCCACCCACATACGTACTTTCTCACACTCCCCCCCCCACTCTCTCCCCACCGCAGGTGTCGGACACGGTGGTGGAGCCGTACAACGCGACGCTGTCGGTCCACCAGCTGGTGGAAAACACTGACGAGACGTACTGCATCGACAACGAGGCGCTCTACGACATCTGCTTCCGCACCCTCAAGCTCACGACGCCCACATACGGCGACCTCAACCACCTGGTGTCGGCCACCATGAGCGGAGTCACCACCTGCCTGCGCTTCCCTGGCCAGCTCAACGCCGACCTGCGCAAGCTCGCCGTCAACATGGTGCCCTTCCCGCGCCTGCACTTCTTCATGCCGGGCTTCGCGCCGCTCACCAGCCGCGGCTCGCAGCAGTACCGCGCGCTCACCGTGCCCGAGCTCACCCAGCAGATGTTCGACGCCAAGAACATGATGGCGGCGTGCGACCCGCGGCACGGCCGCTACCTCACGGTGGCCGCCATCTTTCGCGGGCGAATGTCCATGAAGGAGGTGGACGAGCAGATGCTGAGCGTGCAGAACAAGAACAGCAGCTACTTCGTCGAGTGGATCCCCAACAATGTGAAGACGGCCGTGTGCGACATCCCGCCGCGCGGCCTCAAGATGTCCGCTACCTTCATCGGCAACAGCACGGCCATACAGGTGAGAGGGGGGCTGGCCGGGCGCGTGGTTTACAAATAGCTCTCACGAATTCTGATGGTCTCATTCGCAAAGGCACAAGCATTCCAAAGCTTGGGAGCTCAACTGGCAAAAGTCCGATCACCTCCGCAGGAAATGAGCCTTGACTTAGAAGAAGACGATCCAAAGATCTCAGGGGGCACCTCGTTTGGAGTATAGAGATGAGCGAGTTCCTGTAAATCATTCCGAGGTTTGCACCGCCTCTCAACGTTACTTTGTGCACTTTCATTCTGCGTGCTCCCGTTGCCTCTGCAACTGTGCCCAATCCACCCATCACAGCCTGCCAATGTGGCACTGACCAGGCTCGTTCCTTTTGTTCACACCGTATTTACTGTATATGTGTGTGTGTATGTTGAACTTCTTTTGCAGCCATGCGTAGCCGACCATATTAATCAGAGGATTTCGTTACTCTCGGTGATGGTAACGGTGGTAGACGCCTTGATTTTATTTATTTTTCTCAAGGAAGTCTTGCCGAGTCTGGGGATTCCCCCTCTGCGAGGGTTCCCGCTGCAGTGGGATGTGGGGCCGTTGTTTCCATCGATGAGAGGTTTGGCTTTTTTACACGGTGGGAAATTGGAAGCATCGGAAAGAAACCCCACCACGTGTACACGCGGATAATGTTCACATTTGTGCAAAGATGGATTTAAGAAACTGTTGGTCACCGTGCAGCTCCGTGCACCTGCATTCCCATGTCACATCTCTACTGTACACCCATGACCCCACTTTCTCACAACCCCATTTTTTTATGTTCACAGGATCCCAACATTCCCACGCCCCTGTGTTTCCCCATGTTCTTATACTCCCCCTCTATTTCACATGGCGCCACGTCCCTCTTTCTCCATGTGCTCATGCTTCCGTGTCAGTGTGTCCCTATGGCCCTGCCCGTAATGCCCTCCTGTCCTCATATCCTCATGTCTCCATGTCCATATGTTCTTGAATCGCCATGGCCTCGTGTTCCCATGTCCTCAATCTCTTTGGACCTGTTGTACCTTAAGGTTATCAAGTACCTATGCCCCCGTGCCCGTGTGGAGGCGAGGGTTGGTGGATTGCACAAATGTCATGAAACGTTTGTATAGCAAAATTATGGACACCAACTGTTCCGTCTGTGTGGGATAGGGTGTTTCCCCCTGGTATGCGTGGGTTTTCTCTAGGTGCTCTGGTTTCCTCCCACATGTAAACAATCATTAATTGCCCGAAAACACCTTCACATATAGAGAGGACCGTAGAGCTTGGCCAATTGTTGGAACCTGCTTATCACGTGGCTGCCCTCTTGCTTGTCTGTGGTTTCTTGTGCCCCCCCAAGTCACTGTGGCGAGATGTTAACTCCCTCGTTTAGTATACAGGAGGTTGTGGGCTCGATCCCAACAATAACGCCTGTATATTTGGTGTTTGCATGTCTCTCTCCTGGTGGTCACTTGGATTTGTCTCTGGGTCTTCCGGTTTTTCCCTCCACATTTTGAATCAACATCACATATTTAGAATATTTCTGCTGCTATAAATGTCCACGTGATGATGATAAGCCACTTCATTGAGCTTTCATTTGTGGCCAGGTCGTTTCTGAAATAGAACTACGTAGCTCATTGGGCCTTACATGGTAAAATAAATTTTAGTAACTTTAACTTTAGAGTCCTTCTCTCTCTACGACTGTGAGCAAATACTGTGCAGTGGCCGCACATGACGGGGCAGTGGGCCCGCTCCCCATCTCTTTACCCCCTGCTCTCGACAACCGGGTTAACTCGCGTCGTCGATTCAAACTCGTGACACAACGTGACATAGCGAGCCCACATATTGCCTCAATAAAAAAAAGTACGACCCATGACACCGAGTCCCTGTAACCCCCCCCCCCCCCCCCCCCCCCGTGTGCCCTGCAGGAGCTGTTCAAGCGCATCTCCGAGCAGTTCACAGCCATGTTCCGCCGCAAGGCCTTCCTCCACTGGTACACGGGCGAGGGCATGGACGAGATGGAGTTCACCGAGGCGGAGAGCAACATGAACGACCTCGTCTCCGAGTACCAGCAGTACCAGGACGCCACGGCCGAGGAGGCGGGCGAGTTCGAGGAGGAGGAAGGCGAGGACGACGAGGAGGCCTGAGCCGTCGGGCGACCTCGTCGCTTGCCGGGGGTAGTGAAATCCGTGGAAGCTTCCTCGTCGCTCTCTCCCTTTCTCTCTTTCTCTCTCTCTCTCTCGATTGTTCCATTTGCGCTGCCCAATGGATTTGGGTTGGGGTGTGTGTGTGTGGGTGTGAGTCGCCATGCTGGTGGTGAATCTGTCATTCTGCAGGTGGTAAAAATTGTCAATCCGCTCGTCTGGCTGTCATACTGGTGGGCGATCAGCCAGCCCCAGCAGTCAGGTTGCTGTGCTGGTGGCAAAGCTACCGTGTTGGCGGCCTTGCCACCACACCGGCGGTCAGATCGTCGTTGGTCAGACCGAACAGCGGAGGGATGCCGTAATGGAAATCGAAGTTCGGCACAGTTGGCATTTGGACAACAAGCGGGCACCGAGTTGTAGTTGAGAGTGGCGCAGTACAGGGGTCGTGACTACCACGGTTGGTCTCCAGTGTTGAGCAACCGATGCTCGGCACCGCGTGTAGCCCTACCCCTAGCCATGACGTTCCACTCCGAAATAATAATTGCATAATGGAGCAGAGGGAACGACGCCTCGTGTTTGAGTGGTGCGTTTATACCTACATACACCTACCCAGAGCGGTGTGTGTGTGTGTGCGTGTGATGGGGAGCAGTAGTGTAGCGGTTAGCGCGCTGTACTACAAACCCGGCGACCCGAGTTAAATTCCAGATCACGGCCAACACCAGTGATGATTATCTGAACCAGTCCTGCGCCTCTCTTAGGTCGACTCAGCATCAAATGAGTTCCTGGTGCAGTGTGTAAACATCGCCACTGGGGAGACAAATGCGGCCGGGCATGGTGCTGGCCACCCACCCCATCCTGCACCGTGCCGGACTCCATAGGGGCTCGCTAACAGCACTTGTCCCAACAGCCTGTTCAGGCTATACAGGGGATCTTTGTCTTTGTTTTTTTTGTATGAATACATCGCACGCACATACACACAGTGAATACTGAGATTCTCAATGAGAGGCATCGTTGTAACTTCCCCATATATCAGCGATGGCTCACCGTTCCAGGTTGAGGAGGCAACTCCAAACGTCACCTCGGGGTTTCCATTCTCAAGTAAATTGTATGCAAAGGCAGAACTGGTCTGTTGTAGTTCATTCACCACCACCATCATCATTCAGCCTTCACATTCCAAACGTCCACCTGCATAGGGTTATTATCACTGGAGACTGGAAAAATCCGGGATGGAGCTTTTGTAGCCTCTGCTACCTGAAACCACGCGGTGCCGCTGCCATCAACGGAACCTCCCAGGCGCTTTTGAAAACTGGACTACGCTCTCTCAACCACGCTCTGGAATGAAATCGAACGAGCAACATTGGTCAGCGCAAACCTCGGTGTGGAGGGAAGGAGGAGAGATGACTGAGAAGCTTCCGCGGATTCTTGTGAGCTAAGCCACAGGCCCTCATGTATTAAAACACGTGTAACAGCGCATGCGTATGTGAGCCAGCTCGTCGTCGTCCTGACATCATCATTGTCGTTATCACATCATCATCGCCACCTCATGCCACAATATGTTGTCATTGCAAGAATTTCACAACATCGCATCATCACACCATTGTCACGACAAACTGGCGGCCCGTTTCGTCACATGATCACGATAAAATTACAACACATCATCACATTGTGACACCACCACCACTACGTCACCATCATGACACCATCGTCACAATATGCCTACCACATCATCTCGTCAACCGCATCAGAGCATACCGCCACATCGCATAACCTCGACACCCAGGTGAGAATCGTTCATTATCCTGGGGAAATCCGATGAGCTATGAAGCTCTTTTTCACAGATATCCAGTAAATGCCTGCACTACCACATCCATCATTGCAGCATTGTCCTCATCATCACGACTTCGTGTCGCGAGGCGTTAATGGGTCCACTACCATTAACCAACCTTCCACTGTCAATTCACTGCCACTGTTGATCATTTAATCACCGCTATCTAGTTATCATCACCCCGTGTGAACCACCATACCCAGGATGGACGAGGGTTGACCATGCGTCGACCCTTCACTTTTAATCGCCAAGTGACCCATCTCGCCGTGCCTCCTCTGCCCACTCCTCGCTTCATCATCCGGACACCGTCTGCCGCACGGGCGCACACACATGTCCAGTTAAAGTCCGCGGACCCAGACCAGGGATCCCATCCGCCGGTGCCGACCTGAGTTGGCCAAAACATTTAGTCGTGTTCTTGCTTTAGGAAGGGATCAACAAACCGTCGTGAGCTATTCGGACGCATGCCACTGTCAACGGGAAGATGCTATCGCGTGTTCAAACCCGTTGGGAAGTTCTTATCCCCCCATGTTTACAGCCCTGATTTGGTAGTGACAGTACCACGTGGTTTGTGGACCACAGGGGCCCCAATTGAGAACGTGTTAATACTGTGACGACTGGGCTCTGTGTAGCCTCTGCCGCATAGTGCTACAGAGTATAGAGCAACGGATGCAAGTGTTGCAACGTGGAACACGGAGCTGATGTCGTTTCCATTATTTTTTTTGTAATAAAGCACAGTTGGTAGATTTGACCGCCAACCATGCACACACAGTTGGTCGTCGCCAATCGTGTAATGAAGGGAGTCCCGAGGCCACTACTGGACAGGAGCAACTAAAGGAGTGAAAGGAATGGGAGACCATGGCAGAGAGCGAGAGAGAGAGGGGGGCCCTCGCCCAGCAGTGGGAAGTTAGAGAGACTCGAGTCGTCGCCGCTCTGGTGACCGGGAGATCGTTGATCGATGTTCGGTCGCCGGGGCCGGCGGTGTCGTGAGTCGTGATTTCTCGCTCAAACGGAGTCGGTCGTATGAACGAAGGCTGCTGCCATCTTCCACTCCGTTTACGGACTGAACAAAGAACGACCAATACACTCCTGCCCCTTGTAAATAAACACTGCAATTACCTGGTCAACATGATACGTTGGCACGTCCACCAACAAGGTTGGCATGGTTTTTGCCGAGTAGCCCTACCACTGAAGTTTTTGCCAATTTAATTGGCACCAACGTTAACTCTGGCCCCAGATCTAATTCCCCTCTCCTCCCGCCGTTTGGTCCCCCTCATCCATGAACTCTGCTTCTGTCGTCGCCTCCTCCGGTCTGTTGCCACGAACTTTATGCAAAGCATTTGTCGAGGTCTATGTTGATATAATTTGTCGGCGTCGCATGCGCTGTGATGGTGCACCGATGTGGTTTTTTTTGTATTATTTTGGCGGGACGAGCTTGCGCGGACACGTACGTCACTCACGACGCGTGCTTTGTTACGCGTGCTTTGTTACGCGTCGTAGTGCGAGCCAACAAGAATAAAACAAACAAGCTGCCAACTTTATCCTCGCTCTCCCCGCGCTCTTTTGTGAGAGTGCCCCCAAGACTTGAATCTAATATCATAATGGGCGCCGCCGCTGCACACCGCTCACTCGCTCTCGTCGAGAGAGGGACAGAGGACGACTCGGATTTGCGAGGAGTAATCACAGACGGGCAGGGGGGCAGCAGACACACGGTGACCCGGTGTCAACAATTGCCCAAGCTTTGCAATCCCCTCTTTATTAAGATGTTTGCAGCCAATTAATGAGTGCACCCGGAGAAAATCCATGCGTGCAGGGCAGGAGGTGGGGGAACTCTATCCCACATAGACGGAACAGGTGGAGTCCACATGTTTTGCTGTACTGCCTCGTCCTGACGATCCAGGGTACGGGTACCTCCTCGACGTGCACGAGAAGCGAGTTTCACAACATCCGTGTGGTGGTCCGCCAACCGTCGCCGCTGTCTCCACAGCGCCGGAGTACAGGCCACGTGCGGCGTCGCCGCCACCGCCGGGGATACTGTTGTCAGGGATGTCAGGTGAAGGATTCCCACCAATAGGAGGGGGAGAGGGACGGTGACAGGGGAAGGGGGAGGAGCAAGCGGGGAGATATAAGGGAGAGAACGGGCGGGAAAAGGGGGATTTTGGCGGGAACGAGATTGAGACGGCTGGGGACAAGTGTGGACTGGAGAAAAAGGAATAAAAGACGAGAACCCCCCTGCAACCTTGTGTCGGCTCTCCGTTACACTGTTACCACTGTGATCTCTACGTACGTGCACATCAGGGGTTCTCAAGAACGGTGTCGCCGCTTCGATTCGATCTTTTGGCACAGCGGTTGGAACAACGGTGCAAGTTTATTAAATCTCCCTTCCACCGCTCTGTCCACTCAGCATTATGTATCGGTATGCCATAGTTCTTCTTTGGTTCTTTCGGTAAAGTCACGTAGAATGAGAATAAAGAACCAAAGAAGATGAATCATTGCAGTCACGAAAGCTTTAAATCGAAATTTATGCCATAGTTGGTAGATTTATCACTGGGTCACCCGGTTTTATCCTCCACATTTAGGACCAACATGCCGTTTGTAGTATTTGGCTGCTATGCATTTCCACGCGATTCGCCCACTCTATTGAGGTATCATTCGTGATTTGCCAGGTCGCTTCTGAAAGAGAGCTACATAGCTCAGTGGGCCTTACCTGCTGAAATAAAACACATTTTGTCAATCGGCACGTCACCGCGTGCGATGGGGTGAAGCGTGGGTTCTCCCACCTCGTCCCAGACATCTGGCCAGTGTGGAAGAGTAGGCCAACTTAGCTTCAGTAGAGCCACGCCAACTTGGTGCGGGGGGGGGGGCTTCCACCAACCTCGTTTCCCCCTTAACCAGAAATGTCTCGTGGACTCCACAGGAGGGGCCGTTCCCTTTCTAAATGTCATCGCACGTTGGTGAACGGATCCGTATGACCGGGGTGGGGGTGACGATGAGACACAGAGACCCTCCAGTGGAATCTGTAGCCGACGAGAACGGCAGAATAACAGCGCAGACGGGAGGAACACGCGCGTCAAACAAAAGGCGGTGTAAATGTAAACAGCAATCGGTCTTTTTGTGCAGGTGAAACAAAATGAAACCCGATCAGCGTGCCCTGAATACATGGACAGTTTGTGCTCTTGTTTCAGATCACCGTCCAAATAAATTTGAGCAAATGTGACCGCCTTACTCCAGGAAGTAAATAGGGTTGAGATTTTGTCGTCGGCGCATTCACACGAGTCCAGTCCATCACGAATATGCTGATCAAAAAACAAAGATCCCCCGTGTAGCCTTAACAGACTGTAGGGGCAAGTGCTGTTAGCGAGCACCTATGAAGGCCGGAACGGCGCACACGAGGGGGTGGCTGGACAGCACCACGCCCGACCGCCTTTGTCTCCCCAGTGGGGATGTCTACACACCGCACCAGGTACTCCTCATTTGAGGCTGAATCGACCTAGGAGAGGCCCAGGACCAGTTCAGATAAACGTCACCGGTTGTTGGCCGTGAGTGAGATTCGAACTCGGATCGCCGGGTTTGTAGCGCAGCGCACTCGCCGCTACGCTACCGCTCCCCACACAGCGCTCATCACACACACGACTGTGAGCGCTATGGAACAGCACTGCTTTGAGAAGTCTGTTGGAAAACTGACTCAGACTCAAGGGTGCAACTCAACCATTTGCCGTGGTTCCAGATCTTAGGGGCCGGAGACCTCGGTGAATCTGCTGTTGGCCATATCCCCCCTGCACGAGGCTTGGGGGCCGTCCATAAATGACGTCACACACCTAGAGGGGGGTGTGGGGTCAGGCATTTGTGACGATGTGTGACGAGGGGGGGGGGGGGGGTTGAGAAATGTGACGTTACATCAAAATGTGCAACTTTAAATAAATATAGACAACACGTTCTACTTAATTTAACAGACTTTTAAATAAATGTTTTCTCCTACAACATCAGAGTGCAGCGGTACATTAAATACGCACTACAATGACAATAGTTTAAAGCGATTTGAAGCATGTTTTATTTTAGGAGGGGGGTCTGACTTTTTGTGACGCCGCGTGACTAGGGGGGGGGGGTCAAAATCGTCCAAAATAGCGTGACGTCATTTATGGACGGCCCCTTGTGCGTGGGTACAGCAGCAGGACGACCGTGCAGGACGGTACTGCACGCCGCCCAGCGAGATGAGCTGGAGGGGTTTGGTGCAGACTCTCGTGCAGATGAGTGGGCACAGTTTGTGAACAATCCTTTGTTTGGATAGGCGGCCAACGTGACTCGTCTCGGTAACGAGTTGTTAACTACCTAGCCTGGTATACTGGAGGTTGTAGGTTTGATCTCGACCCTGACGCCTGCATATTTGGAGTTTGTATGTGATCCATGTGGTCGCGTTGATTTTTCTCCGGGTCTTCCTGTTCTTCCCTCCAAATGTATTGATTATGATGATAATGGCGTGATAGTAAAAGATCATGTTTCTGCTGACGTGGTAATTGTGTGATGTAAGATGATAGTGTGATGATGATGCGATGTTAAATGATGGTGTGCTGAAGATGATGATGATGGTGGAGTGATAATAGAAGCTGTGCTTGTGATTGCGTGAAAATGATGGAGTGGTGATGATGATGGTCTGATGTTATTGCGTGATAATGGTGCGGTGGTAGATGATGGTGTGACGATGACGCTGTGATATCTCCCCACAGGTGCCCGAGGGGGCCCACGTGGGTCGCGATCTCATCTCCGAGCTCTGCTTCACGAACCCCGTGGCGCGCGCCCTGCACCGCGTACGCGTCCGCGTGGAGGGAGCCGGCGTGCACACGCCGGGCACCATACTCGTCGGGTATGGTGCCGTAGTCACAAGTTCACGATCATGAGAAGATCAAATATATCAAAGACGGTGTTTCGGGCAACGGCCCTTCTTCATAGCACACGTGTTATCGATTAAACCAAACACATGTGCGATGAAGACGGGCCATCGCCCGAAACGTCCGTTATTGTATATTTTTCCTTTTAAGACCGGGATGTTATTGCCGATTGAGAGTTTTAATTTTTGCGTGCGTATGCACCACTGCTAACGCAATCTCACAATACTGTCCATGTGTTTAGTCACAATTATACCTGATACTCACGCTGCTACTGATGATGATGACACGTGCCCGTATGTGTCTCTGGCTTCACGATAGTGTAGCGGTGAGCTACACTACCATCAGATTTACCATGGAGGTCGAAAAAGATGGCAAACTACCCTTATTGGATGTCTTAATTAAAAGGAGACATGATGGTTCAATGAGCCACTCTGTCTACAGGAAAGCTACCCATACAGATGCTTACTTGAAACCGGATTCCCACCACCATCCATCCCAGAAGAACTCCCTCATCAAAACTCTATACCATAGAGCCTAATGCATTTCCGACCAGGAACACATTACCAGTGAACTCAAGCACGTACACCAGGCTCTCAGGGCTAATGGTTACTCCGACTACACAATCCGCAAAGCCATCACTCCAGTCATGAAGAAGGATCCTCTTGTGGAGCCACTCAAAACCATCACCTTACCCTACATTGCAGGGGTCACTAAAGAGATCTCCAAAATCCTGAATAAACACAAGATCCAGGTCCGATTCAATACAGTACATAAAATCCGTGATCTGGTTCCATCTGTAAAAGATGCTGTTCCAGACATACAGTACCCGGGCGTTTACAAACTAAAGTGCCTCTGTGATAGTAGCTACATTGGAGAAACCAAATGACATATCTCGGACCGCATCCGCGAACATAAAGCAGACTTGAAACACGGTAGAACGAACTCCTCTGCTGTGGCAGATCACTGTTATAATTCAGTGGGCTCACATGACATTGACTTCTCCAAGACGGAGGTTCTTTGCAAACCAACCGGCTACCATGAGAGATTCGATCATGAGGCCATTCACATATACAAGCACAGAGACAATTTCAACCGAGAAGATGGATTCTGGCTTAGTAACCATAGGAAAGATGTTTTAAACCATTTCGGTTCTTAATTAATTGTATTTTACGATGACCTTCAGACCACAGCTCTTTCGCTGGCATTGCCTTTTAATACCTCTCACACCACGGTTAATGGTATGCTTTACAGCATGGAGTATAACAGCGCCTCGCAGCTGTCTCTCTCTCCTTCCTCCATTCCGACCATGGATGAACTCGTCCATCTGAATGGGGCTCGTAGCTATCTGTGGTGCTAAACTTTATGGTAAGAATCTACCCATTTTTTCGCCATATAGCATTGTGATATATAACGACTTATTGTTAGTAGCTTAGCTGATTGGAGAATATATTGAGTTTATTGATAACATTGAGGTAGTTTATATTTAAGTTTTTTTATTGGTTTACTATATGGTATTCATTATATAGTGTAGTGTATACCCATTTACTGTTAATAGCTCAGCTTATTGAAGAATATATTGAGTACATTTATTATATTGATGTAATTTAGACTTAGGTTTTTCACATCGGTTTACTGTATGACAGTTGAGTTGTTGC